TGAAGAGACCAACTGATGAGATGTTTAATGCTGGTCTCGACCTGCACAAATGGGTTAAAAGCCATCTCCATGGGAGATTGGCGAAGGTTCATTGATACTTCCATGGAGAGTGCCGCAACTGATCAAAACACTGAGGTCAGACGAATGTGGGAGGTTGCCATTTCTGAGCTCATTGAACTCAGCCTACTCTGCACCCAGGAGAGCCCATCAACTAGACCTTCAATGCTTGATGCTGCTGATGACTTAGCCCGCCTGAAAAGGTATCTTGCAGGTGACACTACTGCAACTTTTGCCTCTTCATTGGGAATGCCATCTTCAACTGTTGGAGAAGATTAGAAATAGGATGTTTCTAGATCTGATTCATGGATTTCAGTTGGTTTCTTCAAATATAAGAGGAAGCATAGAACGCATTTGAAAGGTACTGAGAAATGAATAGATCTGTGCAGCTTGGTGATTGTTCTTCCAAGTTCAGACTCAGGGGAGTCATTGCTTAACCTAACAATTACTCATTTTTGGTACGATATATCATGGTTCAAACTGTTCTTAAGTTGCCTCCACAAAATCTTTACTGGGGCATAATCATTCGAATTTTTTTAATTGGCACCATATTGTTGATTTAATTCCTTATGAAAGCATACTTTCTACGCACACTTTCTCTAGCTTGGGCTTTGCTATGTTTTACTGTATCATATGTACAAAATAGGCCAATACTTAATGTTCAGTAACTTTCTTCCTGAATTTAGACTGCATTCTAGGATCTACAGAACTAAACTAGATTTTAATATTGATTCCCTCATCACACTTAACAAAGTATTTGCATCAGAAAGGATCTAATTAATATTGGTAGTGCTGCTGAAAAAATAAAAAAAAACGAAAAATTAAAAAAAATGAAGGGCTCAAAGTTGTGTAAAATATTCATGCGTGTACCACTTTCAGCTTGCCAAGAGTTCACAGTGATGACAGGGGCAATTGAACCCTGCATGCTGTGGCAGGCAGAGACAATAAAAATATGCAGCTTTGTATAAATACAAATGGTTTAGACAGAGACCTACAATACTCTGATTGGTTCATATTGAAAACCTAACAAAATCTATCTAGAGATATTCGCAGATTACAAAGAAACCTTACCATTCTTCAGGGAAGGAATTTATTCAATAGGAATAAGAGGACAATCAGAAGCTAACAGTAATATCTCCAAGCCCACACGCCTATAGATAAAGGATATCATAAGAAACTTAGAAAATCCTGACAAGGAGAATTGATTTCTTTCCTTCGGAAAAAACAAATTCTGGATAAGTTCCAACTTAGCTTTATCTATTGCTTATTCCTCTACATTTCCCAGCTATAGAAAGTTTCATATTCCTCAAATATGATGCCCCCTCTGAAACTAATCCCTTTCATTAACAACTTCATTATTAACTTGGCATGTCTTAATTATTTATCCCAGCCACTCCTGATTACTCTTACTATTAAGTGGTTATTGCTTGCATACCAACTCAACCTATGCACTAATGTCTGAAATCTAGTAACTCATTCCACGAATCTACCAGAAAAAAGCAAAAGGTGCCATTACTGACACTTAAGAATTCTACTAAGACAGTTGCAGAGACTACAAGGATCTACTTTCCACCAGTAATAGTCCACCCAAGTGCAACTAGGCTTGTCTTGCACAATGTTATTGCCCTATTCAGAAATCTTATCCAATCAAACTCACTACGTTCTACAAGGATAGGAAAAAAAGACGTAAGTCTCTTTTTGCTGGCCAGCTTAGAGTTGGGAGAGATTTTTACTAGAATGGTGTGACATAAGATAGTGGGATATAGAACAATGTGTGCATGTGGTGTATACACTGTCTCTTTCTCTTGCCGCGGTCCCATCACCGCCCTTGCATGAAGAGCGATTCTCCGTTGCTACTCACTCTTCCCCGTTCTTGTTCTCCGTGATGAGTGAAAATCCCTCTGGTTCAGTTCGAAGTGAGGAACGAGTACACACTGGGAGATCCGAAGCTTCCTCCTTTGAGGAAATTGAATGAAAACAGCAGAAAAGAAGTGATGGTGTCATACACATGCCAGCACCAACAATGATCAAGGAAATTATGTGCTCTGATAGTTTGTGCCTGCAGATTTGGTAGGCCATGACATGCCAACAAAATCCCATAAACTGAAAACAAATTTGACAGGCACCCTACATTATTGGTGGTCCAAAGATGGAAAATATAGTTGAACAAATTATGGTATTACATCTCTCCTCTACTTGAACCAGAATGCACCACGTTCAATCAAAACTTTTGGATAGGTTTTTTCTCCCCCACTTGGGAAGGTAAACAGAAAAATTAAAAGAATAGGCCATGTGGGGTTAAGTTAGCTTGATATAAACTGTTGATGGAAATAGCTCAAGCTTTTAGTTAAGAGATACCTGTCTCACTACTGGTGCGTCAGGTTTCAAGAGATTCTCCATCGGAGTATCATCACTGTCAACTTGAATATATCTCTTTGACAGAATTTGCCTGTCTTTCCAAGAGAGTTCAGCAAGAGGCCTTTCCACGTGGTCTGGAGGCCCACTTGAAGGGAGAGCCTTGAGTTACTTTTGTATGTGTTGTTAGCTCAATGCCTAACTGCTTGAACTTTCGTGCAAAGTGGTTTTCATAATAAAAGAAAATACCATATCTAATGTAACTGACTTCCTGCTGGCAGAATATTTGTATGCTGAATACTGGAAGGTAAATCTTCCCTGCATTTCATAGTGAGTTAATATTTTGTTTTTTTTTCCATCAAAACCTAAAGCTCACTCCATTTCGTTTACATATGAGAATAAAGAGAATGTATGTCTGTAAATTAAACTTTTTAAGCTTACAAAAATATCAACCCATATGTTCTTAAGGGTCTAGTATCTCTGCAAGAAAGATCTAAACCCTCTCTGAAGAGTTTCCCACAGTATTCTGACACCTAACGGGATCTAGCAGTAGTGTAAGGAAGTAGGAGTTATGAAATCATAACTAGGAACAAAAGAGTTCTTAGCAAAATTTATCACCTTTAAAAGTTCTACCGTGAAAGACATTCCTAGTCTTAAATTAAGTACCTCTAACCATTACACCAAAACTCTGGAGTTGTGGTGAGGGGTAAAGGTTGTTGTTTTATATTCTAACATACCCCGCAGGTTGAGCTCCCTTTTTATGGGCTAAACCAGGACTCACATAGCAGTGTCAATTTTTTTTAAAATCCGCTTTAAATTCATGTACTGCGGGATTTAAACTTGGGTTGCTAAATAAAGTCCCTCTAACCATTACAAACTCCGAAGTTGCAGTGAGGGTTAAGGGTTATTGTTTTATATTCTCACATGCCCCCGACTTAGGTTACAAGCTCACATTACTGAGTTTGGTTATACAATTAAATGGAACAAAGATGCATTTCACTTTATCTTGCTTCATTATTATATGTCAACTATTCTTGCTGAATTCATTGGTATACTGAACCAACAAGAATCCAATGTGAAAGCATTCTTAAGACAGGCTACAAGATAATATTTAGATAATTGTACTGAATTGGACGGAGGGAGAAGTATGTACCCACTAAGAGACTTTCAAGTCTTTATTTTTCAAATGGTTGCAACAAAAGAAGGAAACCGTTACAAAAACATTTGTTATCCAAAAAGCTAAAAGAAATGAATGTCATAGGAAAGTGGATTTAATTGAACATAAATAACCTAGAATGATAAAGGTACCCAAATTAGCAACTCAAAAAAGAGACTAACTAATTATTTCATTAAAGAATTTCTTTAATAAAGTATTGTGAACAGTATAGAAGTTGACCTCTAAGCCAGGAGCTTTCATTTATTTTAATTGTATGCAAACTGGAGCTCCTAAGCAAGCTTTATCTTTTCTGGCGAAATAAAGTGTAAGATTGGCTGCAAGCTGTCTGATAGAATCTTGTATTTGTATCTAACATCTCACATATTAAACAGTAAACAAGATGGGAAAAGTATTGATAAATTTATGAAGATTTAAGCACAGCTATGCGTCTGTAGCGTGAA